AATAGGGACTCTGCCTATCTTATTCAGGGCCCTAATGTCAGCACCTGGCACAGGGCCTACCGCATGGTCACTGTTAAATATGTGTTAAATAAGAGTGGACAAATGACCTCCCTGAAGTCTTACAATAACACTCATTACCATCTGAGTTTTACAGTTGAAGAAACTAGGCTCTGTCACTTGCACAAGGTCATACCCTTAGGAAGTGGTACAGTCAGGTTTCTAATGTAAGTCTCTCTGATCCAGATGTGATGGAAGGTGAGATCAGCTTAGTTAACCTGAAGTGCATGTGTTTCCTCTTCCTGTTCGGGTGTGCAAGTCACCACTCCCAAGCCAGGCATCCTCAGAGAAACTTGGGGTAGGGAAGGGAGAAAAACAAAGTGCAAAGAATGAAAATCTTGGACTAGAGGTGTGGCACAGGCAGTAGAGCGCCTCTTTGCCAGTGCAAAGCCCTGAATTCCAACCACAGTTCCACCAAAAAAAAAAAAGAATGGAAGTCTGACTTTTTCTTTCAGAGGCTTGGAATCCTGTGGTGGCCCTCTCCTTTCCCCTTTAGTTAGGTCAACCAACAGGTCCTTCTAGTTCTGGTCCCTTGTCTCTTAGCCCTCCCGAGACACCCCACCTCCTCTTCCACCTCCAGGCCCTGGCACACTACTCCCTCTACCTGCAAGGCTCACTTCCTCAGTGAGCTTTCCCTCCATGTGCCATTCAAAACTCAACCAGGCACCGCCCCTTCCAGGAAGCCTTCTGACCTCTGGAGGAGGCAACTCCTTTGGCTCTTCAGCCAGAAGTTACGGCCCAAGGCAGGGCTAAACACATGATGTGGTCATTGTTTACCTGTCTGCCTTTCCCACAGAGATTGTGTGCCATTCTTGAGGTGTCCTAGTACCTGGTGCTGGCCTGTCACAAGGGAGGGGCTCAGGAAATGTTTGTAGAATGAGTAAATTAACCGGGGTCAGGATTCTAGTACCAGATGGCCACCCCCATCTCCTTCAACTCCCTTGACCCCTGACATATTTTCCTGGGCTTGGCCTTAACAGGAGGGGTTCCTCATCCTCTACTTTCTGGTTAAGTCAGGGGTGGGGACGATGTGGGTCCCCAAATTGATTTCCCTGACTCCTGGATTAAGGAGGTGAGGTTTCAAGGTTAGGGGCAGGTCACCATGGCCATTGGTAGGGGGCAGTTTTGTGATTCCATAGCTGGGAGATTGATGCTTGGGGTACAGGCTGAGCCTGGGAGCTGACCAAACTCTGTGAGTTCAGAGGCTGCTAAGGGCTTTTCCCACTTCCTTCCCTCCTCCCTGCCCACCTTAACTCCCAAAGTCCAAAGCTTGAGGCATGCAGATCCCGCGAACCCTTTGTGCCTTCACCACAGCCCCCAGGCCCCGCCTGGTGCCCCACTGCACACCCAACTACAAAAAACAGCAAAGGGACTTGGGGTGGGCTGCAGGCCTCCCGCAAAGCTTCGCTACTGGAAATAGATGAAGGGGCGCCAGCGACTCCGCGGTCCCGGCAGTCGATCCGGGTTTACAACGAGGCTCATCTGGGATTAGTCCCTGCGCTGGGCTAATCCGCGCCGCTGGACGCACCCCGAGGTCCGGGAGCCGGGCCCACTCTACGCGGGCTAGGCGAGAGGACCCCGGGGAGGAGGAAGCGCGCGGGACGCGGGGCGGAGAGCGCTTGGGGAGGCGCGCCCGGGAGGGCGGGGCCGGGAACCGGTGGATCCTGTCTCGGTCTCTGTTCACGACCTCTCCGGAGCCGGTTTTACGCCAGAGCCTGACGGAGGAAGCCATGGCAGCTTGAGCCCGGAAGGGGCTAGAAGAGCGCAGTCGGAGACCGTGATCGAGACCTTTTCGGTCCCCTTCTCCGAAATTGACTTCCATCCCCCCTGGTTCCTAAGCGTGGGAGGAAGCGGCAGACAGACAGATGTCTTCCGCCCCTTCTCCCATTCAGTTCCGTAATTCATATTCGTTGCCAAAGGAGAGGGGATTGCTATGCCAGGGAACGGCAGAAGGGTCCCAGTCCCCACCAGCAAGTCCTCCCAGCAACCCCTCTGTGCTCCATCTACACCTGAGCTCGGTGTGGATGGGGAGCCAGGAGTGGGCTGGGTCCAGATCGGGTAGGCATCACTTGGAGGTGTACGGACTAGGTGTCTGTCCTCGGTCTGCGTTTTCTCGCCTGCATCCCAGGAAAGCATCTATTAATTCCAGTGAGGGTCGGTCCCTCCCCAGCCTTAGTTCCATTCTCCACGGGACGCAGACCCGAGGGCCTGGAAGAAGCGGAGTGGGGTCCGGTTTTCACACTTTTATTGTAAAGCTCGGGAATAATTACACGGGTCTTTCATTGACAGCTCAGCAAACAAACCGGAAACGAACCGAACCGGAGAGGGTAGGGATGGTGCCTGCGCATGCTCGCGGCCGGGGCGGGGGAGGGCAGAGAAAGAGAAAGACAGAAAGAGACAGAAATCATTACAAATCAACGGGATTGTGCTCGCAGCGCCAGGGACGGGGATGGAGTGGGGGCGGGGCGGGGCCCTTCCCGGGAGGAGCGAGGCGGTGGGAAGTGGCAAGAACCAAGAGAAACACGACCCCAAGGTGGGCACTCGACGCGCCCAAAACCCCCCTCCCAACCACCCCCCCAACACACGAGAGAGACACGGCCCCCCTCCCCACTCAGATAACACGAGGAGACACAGTCTCCCCCTTCCCATGGGCAGACATACCTGCCCGGGAACCCCATGGGTGAGACACAGTCCCCCCGTCCCAGAGAAGTCCCGCATGGAGACGCCCCCTAAGAGACTTTCTCACGGCCATCACGAGCCCTCCCAACACCCAGAGACAGCCTCCACCCAGGGAAGAAATGGCTCCAGAGGTACCCCCAGGAGAGAGCCTCTTGGAGAAAAGACAACTCAGAGATAGATGCCCAGCCTCACCCCAAAGTGCTGCAGGGCAGACACCCCCATAGGAGAGATGGGGCCCCTTTCTGTGGGAAGAGAGGTGGCCCAAGACTGACTTGTCTTAAGTACTCCCAGGAACCCTGGGAGAAAACAGGCTCCCCAGAGAGCCTGGGTAGGGAGGGGAGACATGCCCCCAATGTCCCCAGTGGGAATACACGTTCCCCAAAGACTCCCAAGGGGAGACACAGGGGCTAGGGAGCCCCCAGGACGGGGATGCCTAGAGACACCCCTCCCCCATGTGAGAGATGCTTTAAGGACCCTAGGAGAGAACTACGTCCCCATATACCCTCCCCCTACCAAGAGACATGCTCTGAAGTAGGGAGATGGGGACCAACTTAGGTCCCCTCTAGGAAGACACTGACTGGGTCAGGCTGGGTTTGAGGGGGTCTCCTCCGGCCAAATGTCGCCTATTGGTACATAAAACTGTACGCGACACAAGGCATTGGGGAGGGGCTTCACAGACCTAGGACCAACAGGGGTAGTCCCCAGTGCTGTCACCCATCCCCTGCCCACCTTTGGTTTCACCTCTTGAGTGCCCAGGTGGTGACAACTCAGTGCCCTGACCCCAACCAGGGGGCTGGGGCTCTGCCTTTGCCTGTGGAAGGACCTCTGCTCTGTGCTTCTCAGCCCTTCCAGCCATCTGGGCTACCCCCTTCCTTCTGGCTTCTCCATTGTGCAAAATGCTTCTCTGCCGTAGGAGTCTCCAAGGCCCAGGGCAGGGTACCCAGGTTACCAGAGGCTTCCCTTGAGAGTTCACTGACCCCAGGGATGTCTCTTGTCTGGATCACCCTCTCCATCAAACAAATGGGCCTCATACAATCTTTTTGTCCCAATCCTGACCTCCAGGACCCAAGACATTGTCCCATCAGCTGGGCATCTCATGCTACCAACTCCACCACTATTGCACCTGCCCCGTTTGTGCAGGGGAAAAGGGATGTCTCTTGAACAAGCCCCTGGCCCACTTCCTGGGCCTCTCCCCCAAGGGAAAGGAGCCTTTGGCCAAAGCCTAGACCTGGCTGCTGCCACCCCAGCCCACTCCACCCACCGCCCTCCACAGAAGGGCTGTGATGCTGGGGCTACCAACCTAACAATGCTCTCCTTCCCAGCACTGTTACCCCCAAACCAAGTTAGGAGTAAAGGGGCAGAGAATAGGGTGATTCTACAGCCCCCTGGCTTTTCTGGGGTGGGAGTGGGGTCTCTGGGGTTATAGGAGTCAAGATCCCAGCAGCACAGCTCCCAAAGGCACCAGACAACCCAGCAGCCTGTACCCACCCCTCCCACACTTGGGCCCCCCCACCCCCCAGCTTGGACTAAGTCAAGCAAGGGCCATACCCTGAGTCTCCAGCCTCCCAGCCTGGGCCCCTGGGGAGCTAGAGAGGTATGGGCCAAGGCAGTGGGGGTTTCTGGAAAGAAGAGGGGCTGAGGCTTTGAGATGGCCACAGTGGGAGATGGGGGCTCTGCAGGATGCCCCTCACACCCTGGCCCCCTGAGGTGAAGAAAAGAACCCCACCTCATCATGGCTGACTGGGCTTCTCTGCCCCCCAGTCTCCCCACCCCCCCCATGGGGCCCTGGCCCTGGTGAAGGGAAGCCCAACTGGAAGAAGGGGGCCTGGAGCCCAGGGTGCCGTGAGGCAGCCCTTCCCACCCCCTGAGATCAAGGCAATGGTGGTTTTACAGGCTGAAGGGTCAGTCATGGCAGGGGCTGGGGGCTGGGGGCAGGGAGGGGGCAGGGTGCAGGCCCCCTATATTGGAGGCAGCAACCAGCCACCCCCTGAGAAAACCTTCCTGCTCCCAACTCACCCAACCAGGCCCGAGGCACAGTCATCCCACCCCTGTCCAGCTGCCCCCCCACAGCCTCAGGGCCCTCTGTGATGCTCATCTGGATGTGGGAGGCCAGCCTGAGCGGGGATCCCCCCCAGGGCACAGCGCAACAGTTCCAAAAAAATAGAGATTTGTATTTTTAAAAAAAATTAAATAAAAGCCCAGCTCTGCTGATAGGCAAATGTTACCCCCACCCCCACCCCCACCCACCCATCGTTTCCCTGGCCTGCACCCCCATCCCACCACGGCCCCAGGGGTATTTACAACATGGAACAATAGAGGCCTGGGGTAGGGGGCACTGCGGCAGGGAGAAGGGGGCACAGGGCAGGTTCCCCCTCCCAGGGGTCCCCCAAGACAACACAACATCAATGAGAAAAGTTGCAAATCAGGCAGAAATGGGGACATCATTCCAAGGTCCTTATATGTCCTTATATACAGACACTGCATGACCGGCAGGAAGGGGAGTGCCCAGATGGGACCAGGCATGGGCGTGAGGCGGGAAGGTGGCCCAACCCAGGAGCAGTACTGGAAGACAGGCCTCCATCTCACTCTCACCCCCATCCCCACCCCACCTTTGGTAACAAAAGCCCTTCAGGGAGCCCCTGATGGTCAAGAGTGTCCTCTGGGAGTTCCCAGGGGAGAGGGGCTTCCCAGTTCAGCTCTACTTCAGGGCTGAAATGGGGTGTGCTATCCCTGTCCTGTCCAGCCATGTGGGAAACAATGAGTTAAAGTGTGCTGGCCACCCTTGCCTCCACCATCTGCCCAAAGCTAAAGGGGTGCTCCTTGGAAGTTGATGGAAGGGAGCCCAGTCGTTGCAGAGAAGCCCTCTTGGGCATCAGCTGAGAGGAGCCCCATCAAGGGGAAGAAAGGGCTCCTGGGAGCTGGGAGATGGAAACGGGAGAGGACCTGGACCCTGCATGGGGGAAGGGCCAGCGTGGTCATGAGGCCAGTATTTCCCCTACCAGGGGCCCTGGCCAAGGAGTCCACGCTGGAGGGGTCAAGAGTGGGGGCCCTGGAATGGGTCCATCTGGGAGCTGGCTGGCGGCTGGGGGAGGGGTGGCCAGCCAGCCAGAAGGGGGCTCACAGGTAGATCTCACGCTTGGCCGTCTGGGCAGATGCCGGTGTGGCTGCGGGTGGGAAGTCCGAGGTCTGGGTCAGGGGGATTTCCTCCAAGGTGGCCGAGTCCTTGCAGGAGTCATGGCTACTGTGGGAGAAGGCACTGTAGGAGGGCAGGAGGCGCACGGGGGCCGTTTTGGTGTTCCGGTCGTCTGGGGGGCTGGGGCTGCCGGCACCCGCAGGCTCCTGCCCTCCTCGGTCCTGGTAAGGCACGAAGGTGGAGAGTTTGAGGGTGCTGCTCTTGGTCCGGCGGCTGGGAGATGACTGCCCCGGCATCCAACATGTGTCAGAGTGACCAAACTCGCTGCACTCCCGGGTACATGTGCCCGTCATGGCAACATCAGGCAAAGGGCGGAGGTCTGTAGGAGAGCAGAGCAGACAGTCGTTAGGTGTGGCAGCCTTGAAAAGCACGGCTCCATGGCCTCCCACTGGAACCCGCATCCTGCCTTAGAACAGAGGTGCACAGCTCCTCCTGCCCACTAAGCTCACAGGCACACACCCCTCAAATCAACACACAGTCTCCCACTACCCACCTGCCAGCCCACTGTGTATATTTCCTTCTCTTAACACACACACAATCCTTAAATAGACACATTCCTTTCAGCCTCGCCCACCCTCTAGTGCTCCCTTCTTCTCATACAATCAAATCTGCCTGCAGACAGGTGCACAAACACACAACTCATCTACTCACTCCATTATCTGTCCCTGGACAGGCTTCCACATGCAAGTCTATTGTCAGACGGGGTAAAAAAAACCCCCATTCTCACTAAAGGACACAATTGACTCTCTCTCTCTCTTTCACACACACACACACACACACGCACACGCGCACACAGATAGGCATGGACACACAAATCTACTCCACTGGATAACTGTCCTCAGACAAAGATGGGCACGTACCTTCCTTCCAAACTGCCTCATGCTCCGTTGTCGGGAACCCCACTCACCCTACATAGCAAGGCCTTGCTTTAAAGTCAGGGGGAGGGGACGAGCTACTGTGTGGGGTGTTCATACACAAGCCCACACTCACACACCCCCACGCACGCTCATGCAGCCCCTGCCCACCTCGTTCCAGCCCCTCACCAGCCACCACCCTTGGCCTGGTCCCGGCTCCCTGCCCAGAACACCCACGGGAACAGGAGTTGGCCGCCTGACATCAGCAGTAGCCAGTGTGGTTGCTGGGCAGCGAAGGTCTCCATGGGAACGGCTGGGCCATGAGTACTTCCTGTCACAGCTGCCCCTGTCCCGCCCTCACTCAGGGAAAGCACCAGACAGTGACCCTGCTCAGGGACATGACTGAGCAGTCCTGCCCGGGCAGGGGCTCCCCTGGCACCACCCACCCTGGCCTCCTGCCAGTGCAAGGTGAGGAGGGGATAGCTCTGTTGTTAACCCTCAAAGTGCCAAGGCTCTTTAGCTCAGGGCAGAATTGGGGGACCCAGTGTGGCACGGAGCACTGGGTGGGTGGGGCTGGGTGTTGGGCTGAATCCCACAGACCCCAGACCCCAGAGCAGCTCCCACATACCTGGCATTCCGCCTCAGGGCCTGCTCCGGCCAGCCGGCTCTGCGCGGGCACAAAAAGGACGAGACGGGCATGAGATCACACAAGGAGGGGCATGGGTGGGGATAGAGGACACTCTGAGCATAGGGCCTGGGATGTTAGACAGGTCCCTGTGACTGAGGGGTGAAAAGCTGATCTTTTCATCTTTTGCAGGGAGGAAGACTTTAGATTGAGAGAGGAGGTGAGACCCAAGGACAGCTCCAAATTGGACGGTCTTTTTATCCCAAGGGCTTATTCACGTTCCCCCTACACGGGCTACCAGTGGACGCCTTCACACTCATACCCCTATGCACATACACGTGTACAGCACAGGCACATTCTGTCAGCACGCCTCACCATCCATTCCCACACTCACCTCTGCTCCGTCTTGTCTCTCTCCAAACCCATCCCAGACCGCCCTCTCAGCCAAACCTTCTCCCATTCCCCTCCCAGGGGTCATCACACGGCTCTGAGCTCCTCACCGCATCTGGGACCACTATCCTTTCCCAAAGCCCTCCCACCCTGTTTGGGGACCACTGTCTGCCTTCAAGTTTTCCTCACCATTACCTGAGACTCCTGGCCACTGTTCTCAGGGTCCCCATTCCCAGGGAGGCAGTGTAAGGTAGCGCTGAGTGCAAAGGCTCTGGACTCAGAGAGACCTGGGTGTGAACTCCTCCCAGGTCAGTCACTTCCTAGATGTGTGATTTTGGGCCACTGACTTAACCGAGGCGCCTCGGTTTCCTCCACTGTAAAGTGGGCACAATAAAGTTTTCAGATCAGGGAGTGGTTGTGAGGAATAAATGAATATATACCTGAAAGCACTCAGCACGGTGGGTATTACTGAACACCCAAGAAGAACTCAATTAATGGAGGTTATTTTTAAGGTCTTGTCACCATTCTCAGGCTCATACTCATTCCCAGGGTGCCTTGACCATGCACCCTGGTGACCTCACCATTCTCGGGGTGCTCCATCTCTCCTATGCTGCCATCAGGGGTGGTGCGCTCATAGTGATCCTCAGGAAGGGCCAGGGGACCAAGTCGTGGCCCCGAGGATGACTTGCTGGATGGTGTCTCAGACTCCTCCAGACCACTATCATAGTAACTGTGCTGGGATGGGTCCTGCAGCTCCTGGGCCTGGCTGGTGGCCGAGAAGGTGACACGGCGATGAGGTAACTGCAGGGAGAGAGAGTGTCACTGCTGGACGGTCAGGCTGCTCCACAGCCCAGCCCCAGCAAGGCCCTCCCAGGCTTCAGCAGCAGCCAAGAAGAGGCCCAGCTCCCTAGCACAGCACAGACCTCAGAAAGCACAGGCTCCAAAATAGGACTGCCCCTAAATTCTAGGACAGCTCCCAGTACAGCCAAGTCCACACGCTGAAAGTCCCAACTCAGCACATGCCCCGGTGTTATTGCAGCCCCCAGACCCCCCCATGATAACACAAATCCAGCACAACCACTTGTTCTAGCACAGCCCCTTTAGTTCTGGCCTCCCTATAGTTTCAGAACAGCTCCCGATACAGAATAGAGCCCAACAGCAGAATAGCACAGTACTAGCCAACTCCCAAATGCCAGCATGGCCTCTATACCCCAGCATAGCCTCCAACTTCTACAACAGCTTCCTAAAAAGCAGAAGACTCCTAACTCCCAGACAGCTCTCCAACACCAGAACAGTCCCTAGTCTCCCAGCAGCACCCTCCAGACTCCAGCTCACCTGTCTCACTGTTCTGTAACTTTCCATTGCCTCCATCCAAATGAAGTGCCAACCTCTTTCTCAGCCTGTTCCTTGTCCCTGGTGTGCAATGCCAGGCAGCCTCAGGACTCCCTACTGAGGGCCCTCCACGCCCAGCCTGCAGCCCCAATTTCATGCTCTTCTAGAGAGACCCGGGAGTGAAAAAGGGTAGAAGAAAGGAGGAAAGGGGGCCTGATAACAAGCCAGGGAACGTGAGGTAGGGGACACAAGTGGAAGCTCCCCAGTACTTTGGCTCAGGAAAGGCACTGAAGAAGGCAGGGCCTTTTGAGGAGCCCAGCTTGGTGAAGGCATGCATTCATCAAGGATTGGGGAGGCTGTCCTGAATGAAGACTCCTAGGAAATGAGAAGGAGCATCCCAGGAGAGGCTGCTGGCTTGGTGGAGCCAGCCTTGGAGCTTAGACTGTGTGCTGGGGAACACAGAACTGTTCCAGAAGAATGGAACAGTTGTCACTCCTCCCAGCCAGCAGCCCTGCCTGCCTGCCATGGGTTAATGATCAGCCTTGGAACCTGGCAACCTCAGCCTGACACTTGGCACAGCCAGCCAGCCACCCAAACACCCACCTGGGACTGCCACTGGTTTTCCTGCCAACCAGAAATTAGGAGTTGTGGAGGGCACAGACCCAGGGTCCCTGGAGGCCAGAGGTGGGAGCAAGGCTCAGGCCCTGCTAAGTCTCCTGGCTCCTTTATCCTCCAAGGCGGCAACGCTTTGTCTTTACTCTGTAAGCCTCCACAGGAGGTTATGAAGACGGACAGAGAGTTGGTCCCAGGTTTGCAGACCCATCCTCCAGATCCCTTTTGCCCCAAATCTTCATCCTGCTGCAGGCCACTGGGGTGGGGAGGCTGTCAGGACAAGAAGCTCTCCAGCTGGCAGGAAGGCAGTCCAGAACTGCTACCTCATATCTTCAGGGACCCATGCTGTGACCCCAAACACAGAAGGATCTGGGTAATGAAAGACAAGGTCCCCAGACTTGACCTACACATTTGGGGCTTGCAGATTATAAAGGAGCATAGTCCACCTGGCGTCGAAGTGAACAGGTTCCAGGAGGGCTCTGAAAGGTTCAGGACAGCATAGTTGTTGGTGCTTCTCTTTTCAGTTTTCTTTCAAAACTTTGGCCAGCAGTCCTCCCTCCCTGAAGAAGCCCTGCGTGGTAATGGAGGACTTTAGTCCTGCCTACCAAAGGGAGGCTAAAGAAGGCTTTTCCTATGATTCTTTTCTGTGAAATGGAGGGTTAAGTTACATTCAACACTTAATGTTCCCTGCAATTATCAAATCTTGAAAGCCTAGATCCCAAATCTCTCAAACTCTAGCCCTAAAGTTCAGGATCCTTGCTGAATATTGCTAATTGTCTGCTCCTCAGACTCTTCAGATTCAACATGTCTGAAACCAATCCCGCCTCCCGCCCCCACCCCAATCAGCTTCTGCACAGGCAATGACCTCATCACCATCCCATCACTCACACCAGAAGACTGGTAGCTCTCCCTCCATTCTCCATCCCTACTCTATCCAACTGACCCTTTAATCCTCTTTGCCCTTTCTCCCTAAATTCAGCCAAATCCATCCACCTATCATGTCCAATGCCACCCTCTTAGTCCAAACCTCAGAGGCTCAGTCTCATATTTTCACTTGTACTCCCCTTTAAGTCCAATTCTAGTGAAATTTCTTAAACTCAAGTTAATCTAGAAAACTCCTGAGCTTTCAGGAACTTCTATTTCCTCTTGAGGAACTTTTGGCAAGGCATCCATGTCCTCCACAACATACAGTTCTTCTGATCTTGCCTCTTAGCTCTTTCCTATACCCTCCACTACAGCCAGAATACTCCTTTCAGCCCACTCCCTGCCTCCAACGTGCTCATACTCACTCCTGCCTCAGAGGTTTGCTCACAAGGCCACCCAAGGCAAGGAGATCTTTCTGCCCAAATTCTGCTCATCAATGACAAGCTGGCTCTTGGTTCACATTTGCCTTCCAGAAGCCCACTCCTGTTCCTTATGCAAGTTTCCCCATTCTGCGCTCCTCCAAAGGAGCACTATGGTCAAGTAAATTTGGAAAACTCAGTAATTATAAAAGTTTAACAGGCCCTCCCCTTTATTACAAGGCTTTGCAGAACCTTTAATAGGCTAATGTGATAGTGGATTTCTTAGTGCCCAAACTAACTTAATCATGGAATCTTTTTTTAATGACATAGTAGATAATGGCAGACTCTGGAAATCTGATTTCCTGATGCTATGTTTAAATTCTGGCTTCACCACAAACTAGGTTTCACTTCTGTAAAATGAGTAGTAAAACGAGCTGTATCCCAAAGAGTTATGAGCATTGAATGAACTAATTCACATAAAATTCGCATCTAGTAAGGCCTCAAAAAATGGAAACAAGTAAGCAATAGAAATAAAGCCTTGAAACAAGCTGGGGAAAGCTTTACCATGGCACTTCTCACTCGACACTTAGATTGCTGTCTTGGACAATTTTCATCATGGTCTAGTACCATGCTGAGCAGGTGGTAGGAACTGGACTTATGTGTTCTGTTGATGACAACAGGTGGTATGGTTTGGTTATGTCCTGATGTTGGAAGAGGGTATGCAGTATGGTTTCATGGATGGGTTGGGTTGGACTGGAGTAAAGGACAGTTCCTCAGACCCTGGGAAAGAAAAAGAGATGCAGGAGCCAAAGGAATGGAAGAAGCAGAGGCTGTAAGGATAGACACAGAAGAATGGGAGATCAAGAGTTGCGGGAGGTCATCCTACTGACAGCTGATTCATCCAGGAAAAAAGATATAACTAGGTTTCACTTCCCCATGCCCCACTACAAAACCCCCAGGAGTTTTCACTTTGGGGGTACACCAGGGCATTCGGGAGTTTGTGGATGGAGTCAAGGAAAGAGCTGGCGCCTTGGACCTCCCAGGAGTGTCTCAAACCTCTCCCGTCACCATGGAGATAGCTTGCCTCTGGCCTCAGAGGCATCCCTCAAGACCTGAGGCCCCTCACCCACATGTTAGCCTCCTCAGGTACAACCAGAGACAGGGGAGACCCAGGAGAGCAAGAAGTGAGAGATGGAGAGACAGAGACAGTGAGAGCTAGTAGCCCAGGCTGCCAGAGCAAGTAGCTGAAAGAAGGGGAGAGAGGTGGAGTCATGTGCAGGAGGCAGTCTGGGAGGTCTCAGCCTCTGAGAAGGGAGCAGAACAGGTCACTGCAAAGAGCTGGAGAAGCTCCTAGACTCTCCCTTGGCCTCCCTCCTCAAAGCCCAGGCTGGTGATCATGGTGGAAAGACAAAAGGCAGCTAATTGCTGGGTGTTGAGTGGAGTTGCTCTCCATGAAGAGCTGGGAAAGGGACTTGGGGGAAGATCTTGCTCTCAGGGAAGGCCATTGGTATAATCAAGAGATTCTCTGGCTTCACCTGAGGCAGACAGGATGATTGCCACCCCCATATAGGTACTCTGCTCTTGGTCTAAGGCCTGTCAGAGGCTACTTCATTTGGGCAGACTGGAAAAATTGTCTTGGACCATGGAGTCAAGGCAGGACTTAAATGCACTTCTACATACCCCTTCTTGGTGAAGGGTGTCACTTCTAGGGAGAAGGCCTCATAAGCATGGGGTGAGGGGACATGCTGCCAGGTGCCTCCTGGGCAGGAGGGAACTTCCCCCCGGACATAGAAATTGGTATGGAGGTGGACCGGGAGATGATATGCAAAGATAGGGTTGGAGCAGAGTGGGCAGGTCTAGGTGGTGGAAAGGGGTAAAGAGTAGGAATGGGGAAACTGTGGCAGGACCTGAGGACAAAGGGTTGCTCCCAGTCTCTCTCACTTCTTCTCTCAGTTCCAGAAAAATAAGAAACCAAAACTCCAAAAATAGAGAACTTTATTATCAGGGACAAGTGTATGGGACTGGGGTAGGATGTGGGGCCCAGCCCCAAAAGCCTGGATAAGGAAGAGGTTAATACACAGCACACACAGAAGGCACAAGTGGGGAGATTTCCCCCTCCCCAGCAGACTCCCCACCCCGTTTCCCACCTGGACCCCAGATCTCCTGTTTCCCCTCTAAAGAAACACCTATGGCTGGTCTCAGACAGAGACCCAGGTTTGGATTAGACCTCTTCCCACTTTCTCTGCCCCCTCTATCTCCAAACCCTTCTGTTCACCAGCCCACTCCCCACCTACAAGACCCAGCAGCTGGTCCAGCATCCCAGGATCTAAAAGTCACAGGCCTCTTCCCTAGTGGGGAGGGGGCAGGGAGAACACAGAGCACACCCTCTCTCAGTTTGCAATCAGCCCAACCCCTCATGCCTGGGTGAGGCGGCGGGGTCCTTACCAAGGCCTCAGCACCCCCAGATCAGTGGTCCCACCTCCCACTGTTGGCTTGAACTGGAGTGATAGGCAGGATATATCTGCTGCATCACTCCCACACCTCAGTCCAGATGGCCCCATGGTAGGGGTGGGGTGGGGGCTGGGGTGTGCTGAGCCGAAAGGGCTGGCCTACCTGCTTGCTGGGGTATTTTGGGGGGTTGGTACGGTAGCTGTAGTCGGAGTACTGCTCGGAACCCGTGGATGTGGTGTCCCCAGTGCCCACAAACGTGTTTGCAGGTGGCAGGTCCTGCACCACCTGATGCTTCTTGGAGGCCGAGGGTGACTGGGGCTGCAGCTGAATGGAAGGCAGTGGGGAGTTAGAGCGGTAGTGGCGGCCCAAGTCAGGGCTGCCTGGTGGGTAGTTGAGGGGCAGGTGGATGCGGGGACTGTCTCCTGGGGCATCACTCATCAGGTTGAACTTGAGAGACTTCTGAAGCCCAGCCTCATCTTCGTCCTCCACTGGCTTCACAGGCTTTGGGGATTTGCTCTTCTTGCCCTTGCTTTTGTTTCCCTTGGAGGTTTTGCTGCTTGGCTTGGGGGCATACAGGTCCTTGGTCTCCTTCTTACCAGCCTGGTAGCCACTCTTGGCTTCCCGCTGCCGGCAGTAGCGCACAAGCACTGCCAGGGCAATGAGCAAGGCCACAGCCACGACACCAGCTACAACACCAAAGAGGATGTTGCCACGCTGCTTGGAGCGCTCGTATTCTGGATCCCCGGCAATGTCAATATCCAGTGGCGTGTCCAGGCTGTGGCCCAGTAGAGTCTCCAGTAGTGTGCGGTTGGCTAGGGTCTCATTGACATAGAGGTGGACCAAGGCTGTGCCATAACGTGGGGGTTTGCCACGGTCACTGACCTTCACAACAAGGCGGTGGAGCCCATGGTGGCGCCGCTCAATCTCCTTCTCCAGGGTGATGGCACCTGAGTGTGACCCAATCTGGAAGAGTCCATAAGGGTTGCCACCAGCAATGCTGTAGGTCAGCTCAGCATTCACACCTGAGTCAATGTCCTCGGCTGTCACCTGGCTGACTGTCTCGCCAAGACGTGTCTGCGGGGTCAGCAGCCGGTGCGAAGTGTTTGAGGGGGCAGTGATAAAGGGTGCGTTGTCATTCTCATCCAGTACATTGATAGTGACACCAACATAAGCTGAGCGAGGTGGGACACCACCGTCCACAGCCTTTAGCTGGAAGGTGTAGGTGCTCTGTTGCTCTCGATCGAAGCTTAGGCTGGACAGGATGGTGCCTGTGCCATTCTGGATAACAAAGTCACCATTGTCCTGCTCTACTGAGAGCTGTACCCGGGCATTCTCCCCTTTGTCCCCATCAATGACAGTCACCATGCCCACTGGACTCAATGCCGGCATGTTCTCCATCACTGAGAAGTTGTAGCCACTCAGCATAAATTTGGGGTCATTGTCATTGCAGTCCAGCACATTGACAAGGACAGTGGCTGTGCCCTGAAGGCTGGGGCTGCCCCGGTCAGCTGCCACCACTTTCAGCTCATAGCTGTCCCTTTGTTCTCGATCAAGGGAGGTCTTCACCCGGATTTCTCCATTCTCAGGTGAGATGGTGAAGAGACCCTGGGCAGCTGGCTCAGGCTCCAAAGAATAAACCAGCTCTGCATTAGAGCCAGAGTCAGCATCACTGGCAGTGACTTCAGCCACCACTTCACCAGGCTTGTTGTTTTCTGGGAAGGCAACTTCAGTGATGCTCTGGGTGAAGACAGGCGCATTGTCATTGACGTCCACCACCTGCACCTTGAGGGAGTTGGTGCTAGAGAGTGGGGGGTTGCCAGAGTCCACAGCCACAATCTCAATAGTGTAGTCTTTGACCTTCTCATAGTCAAGCGGAGTGGTAGTCTGTAAGAAGTACTTCTTCTTGCTGTCACTTCCTGTCTCACTGGCCTGGCGGAGCTGAAAGGGCACGTCACCTGCCACCACGCAGGTGACAGCTGCATTTTCTCCCTCATCTCGATCAGATACCTGCACCAGTGCTACAGCTGTCTCTTCTGCCACGTCCTCTGAAATGTTGGCCATCCCGTCTTGATGGGTCACCAGCCCTATGCCTCTGATCTCAATAGTGGGAGCGTTGTCATTCATGTCCTTCACAGTAACGACCACCTGGGCACGGGCACTCTTGGGGTTGGCACCTCTGTCCTTGGCAAGCACTGAGAAGCGCAGGGTGCTGAGGTCCTCACGGTCCACGGGGCCCTGAACAGTGATAAGTCCAGTGTTTCTGTCCAGTCTCAGAAGACGCCTTACAACTTCAGGTGCCTGGTGGAATGTGTAGTCAATTTCTGCATTGGCTCCCTGGTCTGAGTCATTGGCTTTCACCTAGAGGGTAGGAGCAAAAACAAGGAGAACAGAGATAGGTTAGATCAGGGATAGGAAACTAAAGGTACATGTCCTGCCAATGAGCTTTCCAATAAGCATGACACACACCACAAATCTAACTTGGTACCCTTTCCAAAAGCAGAATATGTATCACCTTTTCCCTAGTCCTGACACTCTGGCAGACATTACTAACCCATTTTCCTGAAGAGCCCAGATGCAGGCTTACAAATCCTCAGTGACACAGGCCACCTCTAGAGACAGAGCGGGGCAAAATTAAACTCCACTCCTCATTCTTGTACTAGTTCCCCCAAATACAGAGATGAGGACCCATGAGCCACTAGAGAACCCCCTTCATACAATTAAGCCAACCCGCAGCTTTCTGAGATGGAAGGTATATGAGTAGTAGAGAGGTGTGCATGCATGCACTTATGTGTGCAACATGTATGTATGCAGGCATATATCACACACATGACTGAGCTGTGTATGATTATGCATGACTGTGTGAAGGTGTATGTGTTTGTGCATGTGTGTTTGCATGCATGAATGGTGACCCCCCCAGAGGCCAGAGGTCAGGGGATTTCTATTGAAAGCAGCCAGGTAGGGATGTGGGTCAGGGGGAGTCCACCAGGCCCAGCCCAGCTACTGCTTTTTTGCCCAGCCACCGCTTTGTCAAACCGGGGAAACCTGTTTCAGCAGCTACTTGACTGCTGGCTGGCGCTGGCAAGGCACCAGTGTGAGGAATCCGGCCTGAGCCTGTGGCCAGGAGGGAGGGGTTGGTGCAGGCCACAGAGCCTGCTGGCAGCGGGCTGGGCTCCCAGCATCAAACAATGAACTGTCTGTCCTTTTGCAGTAGGCACGCCCTCCCACGCCAATGCCGATGCGCACTGGGCCCAAGTCTATACAAACATGGGTGGTAATGGGGCAACAGGAACCAGGTGCAATGGCCATGAGGTACCACTAGTCAGGAAGAAATGTGAGGGCTGGAGTTTACTTCACAACCAGATGGATTGTGATGGCAGAGTAGGACTGGGGTGGGTAACAGGCATAACTCAGCAGAGTCTACGGGGATCAAAACAGAAGTCTTAGGTTCAAATCTCAGCTCTACCACTTTCTAAGTAACTATGTAGCCTTGAGCCAATTATTTAATCTTCCCAAGCCTCAGTCTACAAATGTGTAAAATGGGGATTAATAATAGAACTCACTCCACAGGGCTGTAGTGTGGTGAAATGGATAACACATGTAAAAATGCCTAGCACTGCCTGGCACATGGAAAGTGCTTCCTAAATAACATTCCTTTCTCTTTTTGCCTATCTGTCATCTGTCTGTCCATCCATCCTCCTGTCTATATCTGACAAATCAGTTAGCTAGTCACAGCTAGGCACTGCACTTAGTGGGCTGTCAAACCACTGCTAGGCTTCTCCCCTTCCTCTTGGAAGTGAACTCCAATACCTCCCAGGCTGGGCTACCAGTTACTCTAGTGTCCTCTCACACCTGTAGAGTTAATCCCATACAGTTTCTCTTATCCCTGACCCCAGCCTATCTGTCACCAACTGTATGATTATGCTCCCACTATCTTCCTAGCTCTAGATTGGTCACCCAGCTTCTTATCTGCCTCTTTGTCATCTGACTTTGTCTCTGTCTACGACTTCTGGCTTCCACCTGTTTGCCTCCCATCCTTGCTCTGTTCTGACTCTGCCTCTTTTCTCATCCTCTCTTTTCAGCCCTGCTGACTCCTCAGTCCACTCTTCGCCCTTCTGTCCTGCTCCATCTCTCAGGGAGGATGTAAAGCCTTTCCACACATTGGCTCTGAAGCCAGACTGAGATGAGGGCAAAGGTGGACTCTGACCTGTCAGCTATGACACCAAGCAAGTTTCTTAATCTCTTTGGGCTCAGCTTCCCATCTGTAGAATGGGGACAATGCTTACTTACCTTGTACTGTAAGGATTAGAAGATACAACACACATAGTGTGTTTAGAACAGTGGCTGGCACCAACACTATTATTATTATTTGCCTTCCCTGACTGCCTGTCTCCCTTTCTTTCTCAGTCTCATTTCTTTTTCCAGTCTACCAGCAACTGCAAAAAAAAAAAAAAGGAACTTCCACACACCCACCCACTTCAGCTCCAGGACTTAGGACGAAGGGTCTCCCAGGCTGCATAACGGTGTCCAGGGCAGCTGAAGCCTCCTCAGTTCACTCCCATCACATACTGAGGCAGCATCAGCCCATGGGGAAGGAGAAAGGAGCTGGGCTGGCAGGAGGCCAGGCTGAGATGTCAGCAGGAGATACACCCACCTGTCTGTGGGGACGCTCTCTCTGCTCCCTCCCAGGCCCAGCCCCTGGGGCAGTTCCCATGGAGAGGGGTGCTGAGAACTTCCAAAGAGCCTACTGACCCCCACACTGTGCCAAGCACCTCACACCCATGGGCACCTATGCCAAGAGGTGGCAGGTATACAAACGGCCCAGTCTGGTTTGTCAGAACTCTGAGGACCCTCCTGGCTGAAATGATCTCATTTGGCGTTGCTGGGGAGTAAGAATATGTCCCCAGCTTCAGGATAATCTCACCTGGCTAAAAAGAACCTGCCCCTGGTAAGAAAGATACCCTCATTTCAGGAGATGGCAAACAAGATCAAAGGTATTCCTTTCTCCCACTTCAGCTCCCCTAGTCTGGGGAAAAAGTCTCCTTGGACTTTGGGGGAGGGTCACTTCTCAAGAGATTTCCCTAACTTGAGTCTGCCTTGTGTGTTATGTCTGTGTGGGGGGGGGCGGTGGTGGAAGAGGGCTACTGTTCAGAAGCTATGTCACTGTCATCTAAGTAGCTTGACAGAGTAAGATAATATCACCTGCCTTGGTGGGGGAGGGGAAGTTGGTGGGAAGGTCTCACCTGATTGGGGCTGGAGAAAAGGGAACTCTTACCTGGTTGAGGTGAGCTCTCATTTCTAAAAGTGGGTCACCCTGGCAAGTTAGATGGAGGGGCTACTCACCTGGATGACCGAGTGGCCAATGGGGCTATTCTCAGACAGCTCAGCCTCATACGATGGCCGCTCGAACTTGGGAGCGTTGTCATTGGTATCAAGCACAGTAACACGCAGCAGGGCACTGCTGGCACGCGGTGGGCTGCCTCCATCCTGTACCTTGATGGTGAGGTCATAAGAGTCCCAGCGCTCACGGTCCAGGTTGCCCATAACAATGAGCTGTGGCTGCTTTTCCTCCTGGTCCTCGGCCACTTGCAGTCCAAATAGCTCCTGGGCTTCAGGCCCGGCCTGCAGCTCATAGGATGCCACACCATTGGGGCCAGCATCACGATCCGAAGCCAGAGGATGGGGAAGAGTGAACCGATGTTGGTGTTCTCAGGGATGGCCAGATTGATGACAGGTGAGGCAAAGTTGGGTGTGTTGTCATTGATGTCCTGTACTTCTATCTGACCCTCTAGCAAGCGGGGGCTGCCATTTTGTACGAGATCTGTGATAGACACCTCAAATTCCAGGATGCAGGGCTCACCAGGGAGTTGGTTCTGGCATTCACGGAGTCCCTCGCGGTCAATGGAGGTCTCTGTGGTGAAAATGTCACCCGTCTTGCCATCCACTCGAAGGTATGGAGCACCTACCTCTAGTTTGTACAGATGGCCCACATCTGGAAAACCATAGTCAGCTGCAAGGCTTCCAATGAGAGTGTTGGGTGGCTGTTCCTCCGGCACCTTGTACACTACCCGAGTGGCGTGGCCTGCAGACGGAGCCAACAGGAGCAGCAGTGCCGGCAGCAAGGGGGGCAGCAACAACCGTTGCCCCCCAGGGCCTGGGATGGGCCTCAGGGGCCCCATCATAGCAGGCTCCAGAATCAGGAGAGCTGCAAGAAGAGGCAAAACAGAGGCCATCAGTTAGGAAGAGGAAGCTGGCCCTGAGGGCTGCTCAGAGCCAATCCCCTATTTTCCTTCTCCTACCTATACACAATTTTCCCACAAAGAGGGTCAATCCCAGCCCAGAAACTAGATTCCAGAACTCAGAGTCTCACCCACCTCGGGTGTAGCAGCTGTGTCTAGCCCAGCTGGAGGAGCTGGTAAAAGACCTGGCAGGTCTAGAGCAACTCCCGCCCATGGAACGCCCTTACCCACCTGACGTTCCTTAGGTACCGGCCCTCCCTCCTTCTCTTTTCCTCCTTGCTCTCAGCTCTGTGCTTTGCACAACACCTCCTTCTCTCACCAGCATCCTGTCTTAGTCACCCATGGTAATTACCCTGATACTGAGATAGGGAGAGAGCAAGTGGAAGAATTAGGCTGTGGACACATCAACTGGAGCACCCCCTGTCACATCTGTAGCAGGACAGGTGGTGCTGCCTGGATGCCCCAGACGCTGGGGTGATTACTGCCCGCGCTGTGTCCACTCAGGTTGACTGGAAGGAGAGGGGAAGAGAGTCTTACTTCTCTCTTCTGAAATGCCAGGTCAGTGTATGTGTATGAGATATGACATCTCAAATCCCCCTTTTCTGACAATAATCATCCATAGTGACCAAAGTTCCTCACTCCTATGACAGGCAACCTGAATTGGACATCAGCAAGGTTTGTGAAATTACTAGGATTGAGGAGCAGGAATTAGCTCTCCCCAACTGTCCCTACAAATACGTGCCTCAGAGCATCTGCACACACACACACTTGCACAGTTCCTAGAGCTCCTGTCTGCCTATTGCTACGGGCAAGTGCATGGAAGAAGGGAGTGGAGGTCAAGATTGAGGTCATCACTGTGGTCAGAGCTGACTGGCCCTCAAATTGGCATTGGGAGCTGCCCTGGCCTGTACTTAGCACCTGGGACAGGGCAGGACACGACCAACCTTTCCTTGGTCCCTCCCCAGTCTATGGACGATTATCTGGCTTCTGCTTTATTTTTATTTTTTATTTTTTGTGCTGGAAATGAAATCCATGGCCTTGCACATACCAAGCAAGCCGTATATACTACTCCAACCCTTGGATTTTTGAGACAGGGTCTTGCTATGTATCTCAAGATGGCTTCAAACTTTCAATCCTCCTGAATGCATCACCATGCCTGGCTCTGGCTCCTGTTTGACCCCTGTCCCCTCCCCCTCTCCAATTAGTCCATTCCTATCTCACACCTGCCTCTCCCTGCCCTCCCCCGGCTCCTCCTAGTTGCAGTTATACCAGCCCTAGTCAATCACAAACTGTACCCTCAGTACAATAACCCTCTTCAAGGCTGTCTATTTGTCCACCCATTCATACATGCCAGCTACTTTCCCAGTCTTGACTGCCCTCTTCTTTATTCAAATTGTTTCCAGCCTAGCCTTTTCTGTGGAGGGTTCAGGTCCCTTCTTTCCCCACCCCTAGAATTTCCACCCCACACCTGCCACAGACCACACCCATTCCACTGAAGGCAGGTTCTCTCCTCAATCCCCAACACTCAAGATGCCTTCCCAGGCCTGTCCAGCCCACAGTGACCTCTCCTTCCTCCAACTCACAGCCACTTATTGTCTGCTCCAATCCTAAGGCAATGAATCACTGGGCTGCCTGGGACACCGCCCGCCCCTGTTATTCAACTTGTGTTATGCACCTATTGCTGTGTTCTTTGTCTCTTCAGGCAGATGCCAAGCATCCTGAAGGAAGGGACAGGCTTCCTTCATATGCTCACTCGATCTCCTGCCTCCTCTGATGCGGCTTGGCAAAGCTGGGCACACAGAAGGGGTAGGTGCTCATTCATGCATTCAGTGAATGCTTATCAGACACTTACAATATGCTAGACTCTGTCATGTGCCCCAGGACTGGCCCAGTCTGCCACGACAATGGTTCTGTTGATTTTGCTGGGCTGCCTCTGTGTACCTATTCGTTATATGCAAGGCAGCAGGGTAGAGAAGAGCCTAGGTTGTGGCCTCAGATAGTCTGGAACTGTCTATCTAATTCCTATGACCTGGAGCAAATGATTTAGAGCCTCAGTTTCCTTATCTGTCAAAAGGAGCTAATATTGCCTATTTCTTAAGTGAGGGGTGGTGGTGGGGTTGAGATAATGTAAGCTAAATGCCTAAAACAATGTGGACACTCCACAAATAGTCTCTCAAAACACTTAGCCCAGGCTGGTGGAATGGTTCAAATTGTAACAGTGCCTGCCTAGCAAGGCCCTGAGTTCAAACCCCAGTGCCACCAAAAAAAAAAAAAAAAACCCCACTTAGTACAATTGTAGCCATGGACCTCTGTAGAAAACTTACTAATGTTTGTCTTACCGCTCTGGGGTAAAATGTAAGCCTTTTCCGTCCGTTTAGGACACAGTAGATTTAGTAAATGCTTACAGAATGTCCACATTCTCTACATAAGTTAAATGCTTCACCTCCTCCAGGAGCCTTCCTCCAAGCACAGGCCTCTCCCTGGTCACACTCCTCAATGTGAGTGAGACCATTATCAGATTAGTGCTTATGTTTATTCTCAGCTGTAATCTTAATCTCTTTAAAGGAAGGAGGAATTTATCTGATGCCCCATTTGGATCCATCCTCCAACCACCTCCCCTCTAGGGCTGGTGGAGTGGTTCAAGTGGTAGAGCACCTGCCTAGCAAGTGTGAAGCCCTGAGTTCAAACCCCAGCACCACCAAAAAAAAAAAAAAAAAAAAAAAAACAAACAACCACCTCCCCTCTGCCTGCAAATAGCTGGCACAGGGTTCCTCTTCAAGCCCCAACCCAAACACATCCCCCAAGGGACTGTCTCCAAGAGCCTTGTTCCCTCGTGGGCACTTTTATCTCATGACCACCTTTCCCTACACACACACACACACACACACACACACACACACACACTCACACACCATGGGATCACTGCACACCTCAATTCTCTGCAAGTGTTGGCAGGTTAGTGGTTCCGTGGGGATTTTTACCCTAAATCTGGCAAAGAGGAGAAATAAGGTAGTGACTGCTCACCTCTACTGCCCTTTTTTCCAGATAATTTACCTTCTGTGGTCCTAACTCCTCTGAGAATTTTACAATACCATCATACATGTTTCCCCCAGAGAAATGCTCACAAATTTTGGTCGAAAATTTAGGGATCCACGGTCTTACAGAGTCAGGGTGACTTTGATTTGTGGCCACTCTAAGAGGTACAGATAGGAGCTTTCTCACTGTCACAGAGTCACAACCTGAGACTAACCCCTCAGACCTCCTAGGTAGTACCCCAACCCCTTTAGGAAATCCCTTACATTCAGCCAGGGGAGTTAGGAGAGCCACAGGTAAAATCTAAAATAAAGAAGGTATGGGGGGAGGGGGTTCCTAGGAGATAGGAGAAAAGAAGTCTGGAGGCAGGATTACTGAGTGAGGGTGACAGTTGAGGAGGGTTTAGGACTCTGAAGCATCAGGAGAGTTCCTTCAAAATAAGGATCATCTGGCCCCACCCTTAGGAATTTTGATTGGAAGGTAGGACCTGGAGAAACCCCCTAAGGCAACTGTGATGAAAAGGTGGCAGAGAGCCTGGGAAACAACTTTGGGATACACTAGGTCCACTGAGTTAAGAGCCTGAGGTGCTGCAATCTATATCATCATAACCTTAGCAACCACCACCATCACTCAAGCCATCAGCACCTGATGTAAAACACTAAGGTTTTACTAATGTACTGGTAAGTGTCTTACATACATGATCTCCTATTGAATCCTCTCAACCTTCTGAAATGGATACTGTTTATTATTACAGCTTCCTCCCATATTACAGAAGATTAAACTGAGACTCAAAAATATATTAATGTTCTTAGGCGGCAGAGAGCAGGATCTGAGAGAGAGAAAGAGAGAGCGCCTCTACAAATCCTAGAATCTGGGGAAAAGGCTGGATTTGGGAAGGAAATCCAGAAATCTGTGACAGAAATCCCCAAGGCTGGAATATTATGTTTGTTATGTCACCCCTCCCCTCAAGACCTGGACTGCCTGGCCAGGAGGGAAAGGAAGAGGGTCTAGGGTTCCAAGACAGAACCCAAGCCTCCCAAGCTGTTGCAATTCCCCAGAGGCCCATAGAGAAAGTCATGTGATCAGGAAGGGCAGGGCAGCAGTAAGTGACCCCACTATCCCTGCCCCCACCATCTCTGAACTTTGTCCCCAGCAGTTGGTATTGGGAGTCATTAGGCTCAAGCGGCTGCTTCTGAAGTCGTTAGTGCCTTATCTGCCCTTCCCTAGGCAGGCCCTTCCTGGACAAGGGTGTCTCACCTCCACCCAATGACATGGGTGCCCCAGCTCCTGAGAAGACAGAGCCTACACAGGGACAGGCACAAGGATCCATCTTCCTCATGGGTGTAGGAGTGAGGGATGAGAGGACAAGAGTCCAAGAAGTTCAAGGAAAACCTCATCTGTGTCAACATCTGAGAGGAGATGAGGACAGGTGAGAGTTCACTTGCAATCTTCATTTCCAGACCACTTGGGGAGACCAAGGTTCACTTCTTGCTGGATACTGAGAGAACTCTAACTGTCCCAGTGACCAGGTCAGCCCTGACGTCCACCTTCACCCCTGCACTATTACACAACAGCTACTGCTGCTGCAGACACAAAACACCAAGGAACAAAAGGATCATCTGAGAGCCTGGGAGAGGAGGGGGTAAGCAAGTGGGGCTGCATGGAGTGGAGCTGTTCAGAGGCCTCCCACTGTGATCATTCCTCTCCCAGATCTTCCACAACCCTCTATTAGCCTCTGCAGGCTTCTCGGCACCTGCATTCTTGAGCCAGATTGTTGGGTTCCAAAGCCTTGCTCCACCACTTTCTAGTGTGATCTTACCCAAGTGAATTCACTTTTCTGAACCTGTTTCCATACTGTGAGGTGGAAATAATAAACCCTGCGTCTTGAAGTTATTTGGGAGGCTTAAATAAGATTGGATGCATCTAAGGTCTATTAAATTGTAAAAGACAGATACAAAAAAAGAAAAAAAAAGTCTTCCAACCCCAGAATAAAGCATTTTATTTCTAGCAAGGGGCACATAGTAGGTTCAATAAATAAGCCAACCAATGCCCCAGAGTTGGCAAGGCCTATGAAGGCAAATGACATGTATTTTAGTACTGCACCTTCACCACCCACCGTGAGCCCTGGCAGATAGGACGTGCTCAATACATTGAACAGAATCCCTCTCTGCAGCACTAACTATCCTTGCTCCTGGCAGGACCTCACCCCTCACTGGAAGGGCCTCTCCTTTCCCCCTCCTCTCACTCAAGCCCCATTTCCTCTTAGCCCCTCCGCACCCTTGCAGGCCTCCTTTCTAGCCCTTCCACCCCATTCTTTTCAGAAGCACTGAATCTCTTGCCCAGCAATCTGCAGAAGTAGCCACAGCAGCAGCCCCTCTGCTAGGAGGATGCCAGACCAGCAAGACACTCTTTCCAGTTGAAGTCCCTGAATTCGGAATTAGGGATGGGAGGAGGAAGAGGGAAAACTGTATGTAGTCAGACCTGCTCCCCTACCACCCTGCCTCTGGCCATCTCGGAGGGCTCTTGCTCTTTTCCCTTAGATTCCACCCCCAATCCTAGACTAGTTCTTACAGGTTTCAATCCTCAGACCCCCCACTTCAAGAAAGTAACACCTGCCAGAGACCCTCTCCCATACCTCTGGGTTGTCACAAACACCTCTGGGCTGCCTCTTTCTAGGCAGCTCCGGAGGGCTGGACCCAGGGCAGGTGCATGAAGGAGCCTGGAGTCTTCCGGCACAAAGTCCTGGGCTTTGCCGGCATGAGCAGCCCCAGTCCGCAAGGCCTCGGTGAGCGGACGCTCCCAGCACACACCCAGCGTGCTAAGCGTCCCTCCCTAGAGGACGCCGAGTGAATACATGGTGGGGGACGGCGGCCGCTCCTAGGGTTCGGGTGGCCCCACCCCCACCCTGGCGGCGCCTGGCCTCCCCGAGACCAAGGCGAGGCTACTCAAGGGCGCAGCACAGTGAGAACTCGACTAGGCCAGCCGGCCACAAGCGTCCCTCGCCCGCGGGGCCGCCGCGGGGAATCCCTCGTTCTAGCCATCTCCGGCCACGGCCTAGGGTCCCCCTAAGCCGGCGCCGGCGCGAGCCGCGCAGCGGGCGCCGGGGGTGGGGAGGAATCCGCTGGCGCCGGAATCACAAAGCCGCGAGCCCGGCCGGGCGGGGACATTCTCATAAAACCGATCCTCTCAAAGCCGGCAGAAAGGGAGTATTTGCCCCTCATTCAGTGATGGCCTTAGCGTCGCCCCCAATCTTTCCGGCCAAAAGGAGTAATCACCGGCCACTGCTTGGGAAACTGAGGCCAGAAGTCTGAGCTACCGGAGGGTGGCCGAGGGGAAGGGGTTCGAGTCCACCTCGCCTCCTAATTTTGCTCCTGCGCATGCCGCGATCTCCCTTCTCGCCCCAGGGCCTTGCCAGCTCACTTGACTGGCCTGAAGCGGTGACCAGGAGGAGAGGGCGCCAGGTGTGAAACGGACCAAGGTGTGCAACGAACCCAGGTAGCTCGGAGAACTCAACTACACGACCCGAAAAGGGTCTCAAATACAGCCCCAGGGTTGTACCTTTTGCAAAAGGACCTATGGCCTCGGAGCCCCAGGGACGCGGTATGGCGCTGCCTGCCAGGTCCAGCTTGTTCCGGGAATACCCGACCGGTCCGGCCCAGGAGTGGAGGTGGGGGAGGTGCCCGCCGGGAAGCCGGTCGGGCCGGCCCTGGGGCTCCCGCTGTGCCGACATTTACAATAACAATCTCCCGATTAGGGTGACTGGGATCTTGGGGCTCACCTGGAGACCCTGGTGGCTTCTCCCGAAGGAATCAGTCCTCCAAGGGAGAGGGGCCAGACTGTGTTTGTGTGTATGCGCTGCAAGGTGTAAAGTGACACTGTTGGTGTAAGGTGTGTGTGAGGATCAGTGTTAAGATGCGTGAAGCTGTTTGTGACCGTGAGGCGCTGTTGTAGGTGCTTCTGTGTTAAGGGTGTGTGCAATCAAGGCGTGTGCTGAGACGTTGGGTTGCGTGTGTGGTTGCAGTTGAGGGGAGCTGAGAGACCTGTGGTGTGTACCTGAGTTCTGGTCAAGAAGTGGTTAACAATTTATGTTAGGGTGCATGTACCTTAAAAGAGTATATATATATATATATATATATATATATATATATATATATATATACATATATGGGGGGGCTAGGTTTTGAGCGTTCATCTGGCGAATTGTGGCCTTCACACTCACATGAGGGCACGGCGTTGTTTGTGTGTCTGTGTTGCCCAGTGTCACACCCGATTGTGTCCTCTTTATGGCCACAGATTGTTTGTCCCTGCTGCTGATCGTGCAGACTCTGGAGCAGATTCTAAGCTGGTGACGGTGCCCCAGTGGGCGCTGATGTGCGGGAGGTATGTCTGTGTTCACATATGTACGGATGTATGTTTGCGTGACTATGTGTCCGTGGTATGGCCCTCCAAGTGCCCGCGGCGAGCTGGAAGCGCCTGAGTGAGCTGAGCTAGTCGCCCAACAAGTGTGTGTGTGTGTGTGTGTGTGTGTGTGTGTGTGTGTGTGTGTGTTGTGGATAATGTTCCTTGCTTGTTTCGTCCTCGAGGAGCCCCCACCAAACTGAGGGCCGCGCGCTAACCCCCAGACCATCTCCATTCCGCGCGCTCTTGGGAGTCTTCTAATCCCTGCCGCTCCAAGCGCGCCCGGGTGCGACACCGGGGCTGGGGTCCGGCACAGCACCATTTCCCTTCTCTTGGCTTCTTGTCGTGGACCTTGGAGGCCAGGGTGCCCCGGTCGCAACCCCCACTCGGTGTCCCAGCAGCCCCCAGCTCAGCACCCGCTCACTGGGCATAGGCTGGGCCCCCGCGGCCTCGCTCCACTGAGCGCCCCTCCCTCAGCTCCCGCCGGCCATGGCCGATCCGGGCCCCGAGCCGCCGCCGCCTCCACCGCCGCCGGATCCTTACCCGCCTTGGGGCAGCACCGGCCGCCCGCCCCGCTGTCCAGGAGCCGCCGCCGGCCCCGGCCCTGGCTGCGGCTCGACACGGCTGGGTCTGGCGCTGCGGTTCGGGCTCCGGCTGGCTCTGGGCGCAGCAGCCGGGCGGCTTCGCGTCCGCGCCGCGCTCCAGCTCCCCGAGTGTGTGAGGCAGCAGCGGCGGCGGCGGCGGCGGCGGCGGCGGCGGAGCCAGCAGCGAGCGGAGCGCACAGCCCGGCCCGCCCCCTCCCTCCCCCTCCCTCCTGGCCCGCCCGCCCGCCTCCCTCCCGCCTCCCTCCTGGCCCCCCTCCGGCCGGGAGGTGGAGCTCGGGACCGCTCTGGTCCCGCTAGGAGGGGACCCTGAGCACCGCTCCCCCAAACCCAGACCCCCTCCCCTTAGCGATCTCCATTGCCTGAGGCTGGGATACACAGGCCCCCTCCTCTACTCTTCACCTTACACTTATCCCACCCAAGCCTTCATCTGGGACCCTCCAGATTTCCCCTCCTTGCCCTCTCGAGCACCTGTCCCCCTACTCTGTCTCCTGGGAAGTCGAGGCAGGGGAAGTGTCTCCCCTAGCTCCTTCTTCCCTGTGCACCTGTCCCTCCATGTCCACCCTCTTTCCGCCAGACCTCCGAATCACCCAGTGTGGCCTTCCCTTCCCATTGCGTTCCGGGGAAGTCCACCCCTCCCCCTCCGGCCGAAGCCGCAGAGCGGTCAGCCTCGGTGGCCGCAGCAGTGGATGGGGTAGGACTGTAGTAAAGGGGACTGTGGGAGGGGGAGGGGGGATGGGATCTGGAGCTCTAGAGTAAGGGTGAGGAAGATGCACAAGTGTGAGGTTGAAGTGACGCGCCTGATCTCAGGCTCTTCGAGGGTCCCTTAATCGCCTGCCGTCAGGGTGGTGGAATACTGTGGACACGCGCCGGTGACATACACACAGTCACAGAACCACACGGATTTCTGCCCAGTGTCACGGCCTGTGTCATACGCCCTCACAGTGCCACCAGCTCCCTGTCACACTCAGCGAGTCACACACGGTGTCACACGCAGTGTCTCACACACTCAACACTCGGTTTCTCTCGCTCAGCTCTGACTCTCTTGTGCCATCTAGAGGTCTCTGAGCAGCTTGGAAACTCCCTCTTGCTCAGGGTTTGATACCCCAGGCTGCCAAGTGCCCCAATTCAATAGGACCTTCTGCCTACTGCCGCTTGTAGTCCCAGGCAGGATGTTCTAGGTCAGAAGAATGAAGAAAGCTATCCCTAGCTGGGTGTGAAAAGACCCTCATTATGGGATAACCAGTCTCTGAGCCTCCACCACAGCTTCTGATTCCTCATCACTCTCCTCTCTCATTCCCCCATCCCTACCATTCTTCTATCCCTTGCCTCTTTCTTCTGCTTCATACTCTTCCCAGCCCTGGCCTCTCTCTGGGACAGTCTTCAAGGTAAAGGTGGCCTCTGTGGCCAGCTAAGGGAACAGGCAAAGACTGTCCAAGAGCATCCCCCTCCTCCACCTCCCTTTTTGGCCTGGACACTGTCTTCACCCTCAGCCTTAGCCCTCAGCACCAGTGTCCCAAGTGGGGGAATGGGTGCTCTGATGGGGGATGGGGGATGGGGGATGCTGGTGAAAAGAGAATCTGTCCTCTTAGTGGCTTCTGTCTGTCCCCTGCAAAGCTCATACTTGCCCCATCATCGAGCATAGCTCCAAGGAGGGAATCAGTGGCCCAGAGAGAATAAATCTTCCATGGCAGAGCCCCGTCCTCCCTGCCCCCAGCATGTGCCTGCTGCCCACTGCAGCAAACCCTCCCCAGGCTGCTTGCTGGGAGCCATTCAAAGGCTCCTCTGTTCTCCTCCCTTGCTCAAGGCTGAGCAGGATCAGCGGCTGCAGAGCTGGGCAGGAAATGCTAATCTCCCAGATGTTCTCCTCCATCCTCCCTGCTCCACCACCGTCAAACCCAAATCCTGCACCAAGTGGTTGGAGCAGAACTGGGCCAACGCAGCAGCATCGGGGTGTGCCTACCTTTCTTCCCTGCTCCCCATCTCCTCCTACCCTACCTGCCAAGCTGGACTCTGTGGGGACCTGAGTTGGGGCAATGTAGGTATGGGTATTGGGGCCTGTTTTCCCCAGGAAGGAGGGCAGGCAAGAGGGCTGGGACTGTGAGAAGGATGGTTGGGGAGTAAAGGAGGTGGCATCTTTAAAGGAGGAGAGAACCAGACTTTTGGCCTTGTACCAAACTGGGAGGAGGACTGGTTGGCAAATGAAGCATTTGGGGAGGCTCCTGAAATTGACAGTGACTGAGCGTCTAGCTGGGACTGTGTCCAGAGAGTGGAGTCTGGGTGATGCTAGGTGTGGAAGTGGTTGGGATGCTTGCTGTGATATGTGCATACCTGGATGGGCTAAGAGAACTGGGATGCTTTAGGACCTGAAACTATATCAGAAAGCCTGTTGCCTCTGATTACAACTGGGACACTGTTGCAATGCTATGGTGCAATGTGCCTAAGCTATAGCTAGATAATCAGATTACCCAAGATGCTATTGTCAAGTCATATGCATATGCATGTGCTCATGTTGAAGGAGAGTTATAACTGAAATGCCACTGGACTTGAAGCTATAGGTGTGAAGCTGGCATATTTGAGACTGGCTACAGCTAAAAAGCCCATCTCTGTTAACATAATATAAATGGGGCCATATCTGAATTCACTGCTTAGGTCCTAGGAGATAAGAAGCTGTTGCTAGGAGCCTCTACCTGGGAAGCAGGCTGTTACCTGGGATAAGAGCAGAGCTACTGTTGTATATAGGATTGTAGCTGGAATCCTATTGGTCCTGAAACTATAGCTGTGATGACAGCATACTGGGGATTGGCTATAGCTAAGATCCTATTGCCTAGGATTGTGGCTGGGCTGTTCTTATGTGCAGGATTCAAGCTGGAATTCTGTTATGCCTGCAGCTATAGCTCTGAAGCCTGGGTGTAGCTGAGAGGCCATTTCTTGGTAATATAGTGGACCATTGTTGTGTGGGGGCTGTAGCTAGGACTCTGTTGTCTAGGAGATGAGAAGCTGTTCCCTGAGATGCTGTTCTGGGAGGCAGGATGCTAGTTGAGATAAGAGTTGATCTGCTTAGGATGGTCCCCAAGTGACTTTACTGGGTCTGAGACTGGCTGGATGGGGGAAGCAAGTGAGTCCTGCTTTGAGGTCTGGGAGATTCTAGAAGCCCTGGGTTGGGTGGAGGTTACTGCTCTGGGGAGGCCTCAGCAGCTGCTTTGCTGTGGAGCTGGGAAGCCTGTTTTCATTACTGTTTTAACTCTTTTTTTAACCTTGTTTTTCTCTCAGCTGCACTTTCACTCACTCATTAATTTTGGTATTTTTCTCACGGTGCCTCAGCCCCTGTCACGGCTGCCATGGCAACAGGAGGCAGTGTGCACAGTGCCAAAATATCTGATCAAAAAATAACCAAAATAAGCAAATACCAAGACGGCTGTGCTAGGGAATATGGCCGAAGGAGAGCTGATGGCTTAGATCCAGGGAACCCTAGGCTCTTAGGGGACCCCTTTCACTCCCCCTCTTCCCTAGGGAAGCTTTGTTGCACCTCCTGATAACCTGGGAAGCCCCTTCCTAAGGGACTCCACAGCACACTCTCCCAGGACTCTGAGATTTCAATAGTCCCTGACCAAGAAGCAACTTTGCCTGAGGTGGGACCACTGAGAGGGAGCAAGGACCAGGGTTCACAACCCAGGAGCTGACAGATAAAGCTTCTGAGAGACTCCCTACAGCCTCTAGCCTCACACATCTGCGCCCACCTACTTGCCTGCCCTCCCCAAGCCCTCCTGTCTTCGGCTTATTCCTCCCTCATTGTCTCAATCCCCACTTGACCACCTCCATTTTCCTTTTTTTTATAGCTCAAATCCTGATGGGATGGACAGAGGAGAGAAAAACACCAGCCTCCAGGCCCATCTCACCTGCAACTCCTCAATGGAGGTGGTAGGATGGGATGCCATAAAAGTTCCTGGAACTCCTAGGCCTCTGGCCACCTCTAGCTCCACTGCCTAGGGGAGATTCCTGAATGTCTCAGACCCCAATTCCATTTTCTCACCTATTTCTTAGGCCCTGGAGGCCTCCTTTCTGGTGGGTATGTCCCAGGAGGGGTAAAAGGAATAAACCTCAGGCAAGGAAGGGTCAGAGTACTCCCTTGTTTCCCTTCCTCCTTCACCCACTAATTTCCCTTTTAAGGAACTCATCTAGATGTCTGGGACACTGGGAATTGGGGAAATGAGAAGGAGCCCCTCAATCATTCAATTACATCTCTGTTCTCTTTTCCTGCTCCTCCCTACCCCCCACAAAATCTCACTCCTAGCATGCATCCATCCCTTCTGGGAATAACTAGAACTCACTTCCTGCTCTTCACTCTCAATTTCTGTCCTCTCCTCCCCTCAAGAACAGTAGTGGCCTTGGCCTTCTGGCAGAGCCTTCCTAGCCTGTTTCCATAGAAACCTGGTAGGCTGTGCAGTGCAGGAGTGGGAGGGGAGTTAGAAGGAGGAAAAAGGGACCAGGCCTCAGAGGCAGCCCCAGATGAAGGGAGATGAGCACCTTTGAGAAAAGGTGGGAAATTGTCCCATGCAAACAGAGGGACACCCTGATTTGGGGAGGAAAGACAAGAAGTAGCAAAAGCTTGGTAGATTTTCTCCTCAGGCAGGATCAGAGAACTGACACTCTCCCCAGGCACAGAGAGGGGGTTTTCCTCCCTCTCCACCCGCTAAAGATCCTTCTTTACCAGGAACTGACTGATTTGTGATGGATCTTTTCCCAGGACCAACCAATCTCTAAGACAGGAACCAAGGGTTACCTTTCCTCACCCCCGCATGAGCCCTGTACCCTTCCTAGTCCAGCGATTCCTTGACTGGAAGGCTGGGCAGCCCCGTGGACCCGGTGGCCGCCACTGACCCCATAGCGTGCTGCTATCAAAGGCCCCATTCATGTCTAGGGGCTGAAGGCACCATTGTCCCCCGCGGGGGGTGTGGTATGTTGTGGAGATTGAGGGGGTCTCGACTCAGAAGGAAGGAATGCGTCTGGAGAAGTTGCCCCCGGGGCTGCAGTCTCAGGTCCCCACCAGATCTCCATCGGGACCCTTTCATGACCCCGAACCCTACCCTCAGTAGCTCCCAGCAGCCTTCGCGCTT